TACCGCCAATGAAGAAGTGAGAAGCTTTCCCAGGGCTGCAACTTCTTCGATAACAGAGATAACAGCGCTGTGACGAAACTTTACTGAGATGCAATCGTCTGCCAGGGAAGCAAGTTACAGAACAACACAGAAAATGTACTAAACTAACCTGCATGACTTTTGGAAGCACAGATTTATCGAACTGGTCCTCGAGTGTTGCTTCAGCAAAATCACGCTTCAGTACATCGTCTTCAACGTCCAAATAAAATGCTCCACGATGGAAATACTTTTGCAGGAACTTGTACTTGCCTTTCTTTTGCTATAAATTAATGCAGAAATTAGCACATAATCATGTAGAGACAAACGAAAAAAGCCCACTTTCAAGTGACCATGGAAAGCTGGCACTGTTGGAGATGTGCCTGCTGTTGGCATTTGCTATCCTATCCTCGTAACACTTCCGAGTGCCTTTGTTTCTCAGGAAGAGCGAACACGGAAGAATTTCAAGCGTATGGGTTTTTGAACTGCATACTCCAGATCGTGCCCATCTGTTCCAATGTGAACTGTCACCATGGGGAGCGCTCAAGTGGTCGTTTATTTCCTCGCAAAACCCAATTCGCAACGGCAAACTGAGCCGATCAATATGGCTCGGTTTGCCGTTGCGAATTGGGATTTATCACTATCCTCAAACACTTCATCAGGCAGGGAGAAGCGGTAACAACTTTGAATTTACGAAAAAAGCAATTCACAGACAAATTTTCTGCTCATCATCCACGGACAATCTGTGCCTCTCATCAGACACATAGCAACTGCTCATGACTTTCTGCCGATTACTGCGTGTGGAATGCTATACAAAACCGAAAAAAAGTCCTCAGATTTCAAAACTAACGTTTTAAAAAAAAATGTTTATTCCAAAAACTGAAACTATGGTAATTTTAAACTCCCTCCCCCACACTAAAACTTCTCTCTTTCCGTTTTCAGTAAATTCTTGGAATGTGTTTTCCCTCTGATGAACATACATATATATCGTACAACAGATTTGGGGAAACATTCTTACCAAGTTGGTGATAATCCTTGGATTCATCCGCAAATACTGTTTCCGTTCATCTTCAGTCATGCTATGAATTCGATCGTATTCCGCTTTTTCACG